TTGTGGCGAAGTGCTCCCTTCCCTGGTGCGGGATTTTATGTTTGCCCTGGTTGGATTTCGTGTCCCTCCCCCTGCCTGCCACGGTGCCTCCATGTCACAGCCCTACCCTGGACCACACCGACGGCGCTCCTCGGTTTGGCATCATCTGAAAACCCGACGGGGTGCGGTCGTTACCGTTTATGGATGAAGATGATAACCAGGAGATCCCTGGCCGTACCCTGAAGTGCCACATGTGCTGCCACCACCCAGCTGGAGCGTGGTGTTAACCCAACAGCAGTGGCTTCACCACGCAGCAGTTGTCCCATCTGTCTGCCCACCCGTCCACACCACAGCATTTCACTTATGCCTTGTGCCATCAGAGCACCGTGGTCTGCTGGAGCCGCAGTGCCTCTCGGAGAGCCCCTCTCCCGTCACCTTGACAGGGTGACAGCCACCACAAGGCAGGAGAAGCGTGATGGGCCCATCACCCGCAGAGGGAACACGTTCACGGGAGCCTCAAGCGATGCCAGATCTCAGTTCATAAAGCTCCGGACTGAAACCGAAGCCACGTTTTTGCTTGTTTTGTTCCTTTAGAGAAAAGTATTTGATTAATTCATTCTCTGGGCCACGGCAGACATCCATGAGCCACATAAAAAAAGGGAAATCCCCAATGATACGCAAGTCCCTGCTTTTGCAGGGAGGGAAGGGAGGAGAGCTGGAGCAGGTTTTCATGCTGGGCACGGAGACGCCGCAGGGACAGGTCCCTGTGGGAGAGGCAGGGAAGGACCTGGGACCGGCAGGGGAAGAAGCATCTCCTGCTCAGATGAACGTGGGGACCTGGAGGAGAGATAAGCATGGAGCAAGCAGCTGAACCCACACAGCTCCCGTTTCCAGCTTCCAGCTTGGGAACGCCAGGCAGCCGGAGGGTCCCCCTACCCCACCGGCGCGACACGGATCCTGGCAGATGCGGGACCAACTCCGGCTGCGCGGAAAGGGACGGGTTTACTGGCAGCAGCACAAGCGAAGGCAGTGGCAACAAGCCTGCAACAAAACACCACCTATGTCTCATCATGTATACATTTCTCCCACGTCTCTAAGCACTTAACTCACACAATTATTTAATTACGAGCAGAAATTCATGGCTAACGATTAAAAATCTTATCAAGGAAGCACATTTCTAACAGAGGCCCCGAAAACTACGCTGAGACAGCGGCGGGTCGTGAAAGGAATCCCTGAGACCTGGTATGACAAACATGCTCCAGCACAGCAATTTGGCCATCTCAGAAGAAGTCAGGATGTGCCAAGGGCACCAGACCAGACCCGTCACCTGGTTCTGGGTCAGACCCTGGGGGACTGGGGTCTCTCCCCAGCAAGGCTCTGCAACTGGTCCTGCAAAGGACAGCAGTCAAAGAAGGATTGAGAAGGTATTTTGGATGCTAGTTAGCAAACTCTCACTTAAATGAGAAGGAGAACCTACAGGAATTGCAGCTGACCTTCACACTAGCTGGAGCAGAAGGTTGTTATTAAAGGAACCACTGAGAGGAACAGTGCAGTTATTCAATATAATAGGTCACACAAGCCTATGTGTAGTTAAAAATAAAATCTATTACCCGGGAAAATCAGCTCAGATGACTCCACATCACCGAACCCTACCTGCACCTCCTCTGGCTGAGCACCGCCAAGCCCCACGTCCTGCAGTTTGGCCATCCCACCCTGTCAGCTGCTCCTGAACAGACGGCGACACCTGACATATTGACTCCCCAGCACCCCAAAATAGATGGGAGAGCAAGTGTTCCCCTTGGAACTGGGGCTCGCAGTCAGATTTTCAGAGGAAGGTGCTCTGAAAGAAGGTGGTAGACTCCCACAAGGTTTCTGAAAGCCTCTAAATCGCTGCATTCACCAGGAATGATATATCCGACACACATCAGGCTTTCAGATGTCCACCCTCCAGGAGGATGCCCCTGGAGTGAGGAGGGGCTCAGGGCATCCGTAAAGAGCCGGCCCTGGAGGGACCGGGCAGGAGACGAGGGGACTGGTGGGGCAGAACCTCTGCCCCCGCCCCAGCATGGACATGACCAACCGAGCCTGCTGCTCCCCAGGCTTTAAGGTGTGATTACAGCTTGCGGACAAGCTAAAGAGTTGATGCAAGTTCATATCTTCACCCGATGTGAGCAGTCGGCTGCACCATCACAAGAAACGTACCGATAACAGTGTCCATATGTGTGTGTGTCCGTGAGAAATGGCATGAAACAAGGACCAAAGCTCACGCTCTTTTCCAACAAGACTCACTTTCAGGTGTTCACTTTTTATCCTCACTCCTTAAAAAACACATCTGGTGCCCTAGCAACAGCTCTTTCAGAGATTACATTTTATGGGTAAAAATTGGTTTCCATGCAACCTAATGCCTAACTTCCATAGCCAGTTCTGAACTCTAAAATGCACAAAAAATGGCTGATTTTTTCTTAACTCCCTAGTGATCTGGTAGAACCCAATTTGCAGGACATAATCAAAGCTGGTAACAAGAACTAATATAACACCAAAAAAGCCTGGATATCAAACCACCGTCACCAATTCCCACTCTCCTATTATGAGCGCTTTTTCTAAATCACCACCTCCCAGAGCCATGTGATTAGACATGAAATTCCACTTTGGGGTTTTTTCCTCAGTATCTCCCCGACCCTGCTGACTCCAGAGAGCTGGCTCAAATGACCCTACAGGCTTGAAAAGCAATAGCGGAAAGAAAGAGAATCTCCAAGTTATCACCACTTTTCAAATCATAAGGTACTTGGGGGCAGATTCGTGACTTTTAACATACATATTTGGGCCTCAGAACACCTCTCTCCCTTGTAGCCGGCAGTGTCTGCCACGTGCAGATCAACGGCAGCAGAGCCTGGGGACAAATGCTGGCGGTTCTTCCAAGCTGAAATAAGCACACTGATTTCCAGCAGCATCCCACCTCCGGTGCTCGGGCAGGAGCCAGCCCAGACCGCTGCTCCCACTGCCGCGCACACACCGCTGCTCGCTGCCAGCACCCCCATGACGCCGTCCTGCCGTGGGCCACGCGCAGATCCACAGCCGGCAGGGACGGAGGGTGG